TTTCAGGAGGTTAAATGTTACTGTTTTAAAACCCCAAAAGGGCGGGAAGATATATAAAATTTAAATTGTTATTTCGGTTGTATCAAATCTAAAGCTCAGAACTTTTTTGTACACCTAATAATTTAAAATATATTCTGAAATCATTGAGTGTTTCGATGTATCCAATCTTAAATTGTTCTTGTGTTCTTTTATCCTAGTTTTTAATTTTCTCTTCGTTTGGCCTACATACGATGCGTTACAATCTTTACAGTTGATTTTATAGATCACATGATTATTATCTTCCCTATTATTTTTGTCTTTATGTGTTCGAATGATTTTATTGAGTTTATGTAGAGGCCGAAAACCTACTACGGTCGATGATTTTTTTAAAAACGGATGTAACATAACATAGTCAGATATGCTTGTTATGTATGGAAATACTCTAAACTCTCTGTTCATACATTAATTTTCTTCTACATTAATGAAAAACTGATGTTTTTCCTTCATTTCTTGTTTTGCAAAGAGATGTTTCAATCTTCTGTTAATGATATAAAAAATAAATTTTAGAGGATAATATTGTCCAGCAGTATGTTAATGCAACACTTTAAATTCTCATCATAAAACGAAATGTGTGATCATTTAGAATATGCTTGTCTCCGCCGCAATTTTTCCTTTGCTAGAGAAATACATTTTCCGAGTGTTGACGTCTTCAAATTGATTTAAATTATATAACAATTTGTTTCTCAGGCAGCATGCTAATGTTCATTGAATGTTCATTTTGTATTATACATGTTTACTGTTTGATTCTAAACAGTTAGCTAACATTCCGAAAAATTCTAAGTTTAACGAATAGGATCCAAACGTTGAACGAATATTGCAAGTATATTACTTCGTTGTCGTCATTTATGTTTGATACGAATTCTTTCGAAATATTTTGCTCAAATATTTATATCAAAATAAACAAAAGATACGAGGTCCGAATTGTTCTAAAAAAACAGATCAATCATCAGATGAAATATTAAGAATGGTACAAGGAGAAGAGTGGTAAAAAAGATAAGAGAGAAGGGAGTTGTGAGTCTGTTTTCGGCCGGGCGTACACATGTACATGACTTCTGTTAAGGCCGGAGACTTTTGCATAACACAATATATTGTACTATACATAAAGAATTTGATTAGTTTATTAACACATATATAAGAAAATGAGCCAATGAAATTTCTTATATGTATGTATTATGTGTTTTACAAAAGTCTGCTCTCGCCCTCTTTATCCCCTTCTCTTTCTTCTTTTATTTTTTAATGGCACTCGCCGATGAAATGCCGGCAAATCCGACTAGTAACGTCCTCCTTATCCCTATTGAGTTGTAGCGTGGCTATGTGGCATTGTGATAATATGATTGGTCTGATATGACAGCGCGCCATAAGACACTTTTACATGGCGTCGAGCATCGTGAGCTTGCTATTCGCTAAAACAGGTCATGTGATCAATATTGACGAATAGCAAGCTCACGACGTTCGACTTGATGCTCCTATGATGTAAGAAGATAAGATGTACCATTCCCGAGGATGCATAGTAGGAGAGAAATTGTGACTAAAATTTGATTGGCTATTCCAATATGTCAGCGCTATATTATATGCAGGAAAGGGAATAGAAGCCAAAATTTGATTAGTTGTTTCCACTATTGCTATCACTATTATCGGTTGTTTCATTGCTATAAATAGTGTCGTGAATGTTTAATATTTTTGCAGTGAACTGCAGATTATCAGTCTCAGTGTGTCTACTGATGTGATTGGACGCGTTATTGTGTCATTATTTTTGGAAAATGTGATCGGCTTCAAACGCGCAATTGAGTTTATATTACTTTTTTTAGACTTTTGTATTCTGTTTTATATACTGTTTTTTTGTTACTCACCGCATAAGCGGCATTTTCGGCCGTATCGACTCTGTATTAGAGTCGGGGCCATTCTCACGCTAAGAACTGTAGATTATGCCAGGTAAATCTAATATCTTTTCTTATCCAGCCTATTCTGCAAATTTATATCCACTTGCATAGCCGCTTAAACATATGCATAAGAAAATTATCCAATCGTACTATTTTATGTATGTCCTTATGATAGAAATACAATTGAATAATTTTCTTTATGTATATGTTTATGTGGCTATGCAAGTTGCGTGGATATACCTTTACCCATTATGCGATATGGGTATATAAATGTTGTCGTTGCGCATCTTTTGGTAGGGATAAAAAAGCTGTGCAACGACAAAGTTATGATATCGACACTGCATAACGAGTTACAGAATAGACATGCTGGAATTATAGCTAGGAATTATCTTTTTTTCGAATAGTACAGTGTCAATATACAATAGTTGTGGGTCAATCCTTTATAGTGGTTAAGTATAACCAGTTATAATAACAAACTCAATCAACGGGCGAAGTAAGAGTCAACCACATTTTTAATTTTTCATAAAATTATATATTATATTAACAGCGATGAAACATCTCTCAAAAAATTAGACTATAAACTAATAAGTTACAAGTTTCGGCTACCGGTTTGAGCCCTCTTCAGACATTAGTATAACGAAAAATAATATAATAACAGAATAAAATCAATTGTCGCAAATGTTCGCATATTCAGAATAATCACAGTTCGGGTGAGTCTTGATCTCGAAACATAATTTCCGTATGGTTGAACAGTCAAAAGTATTAAAAATGTCAGTGGTAAAGTTCTAGTTAATAAAAAGGATAAATTAAAGAATAATAAAAAAAACGTACTACCGACAAACACGCATAAATAAAACAATATAAAATACCGAAAATCCAACAAAATCAAATAAAATTTATTTCATAAAAAACTTACCAGAAATCATATGTAATAAATATGAAATAAATTTTATTTGATTTTGTTGGATTTTCGGTATTTTATATTGTTTTATTTATGCGTGTTTGTCGGTAGTACGTTTTTTTTATTATTCTTTAATTTATCCTTTTTATTAACTAGAACTTTACCACTGACATTTTTAATACTTTTGACTGTTCAACCATACGGAAATTATGTTTCGAGATCAAGACTCACCCGAACTGTGATTATTCTGAATATGCGAACATTTGCGACAATTGATTTTATTCTGTTATTATATTATTTTTCGTTATACTAATGTCTGAAGAGGGCTCAAACCGGTAGCCGAAACTTGTAACTTATTAGTTTATAGTCTAATTTTTTGAGAGATGTTTCATCGCTGTTAATATAATATATAATTTTATGAAAAATTAAAAATGTGGTTGACTCTTACTTCGCCCGTTGATTGAGTTTGTTATTATGTTTTGAAAAAGTCCTTTGAATTTGTTTATTTATTATAACCAGTTATTTAGAATAGCAATTATGATATGATTACTTGTTACAATAATTAGTGATAATTAATTTTTAAAGTGTTTTCATATATTCCAGGTGAGAAAGGAAATTCGATAACATTTATTTGAATATAAATGCTAGATATTTTATCAAAAATATTGTCAAAATTTCGAAAATATCGACAACAAAAGTTTTAATCTCCAAACAGATGACAGCCATCATACTAGTGTATCTCTTACTGAATTGTCTATCAAGTTTATTAGGCAATTCCCTTTGTGTTCAATGCTCTTGTTATGGGAAGGGGTGACGAAAAGATTTCTTAGTTATCTTATACTAAACGCTAAATCAGAAGTAAAATTGAGAGCATTAGACACAAACAAAATTTCTTGTCTTTTGAACTGGAAGAGTTTTGTATTTTTATCCCAAGAGAGTTTGCTCGTAAACCTCGTTCTCTACACTATGTTGCTCGATGGAAAGCGACTGAACATCGATTGTTCCTATTATATACAGGAGTAGTTACTCTTAAACAAGTGCTTTCACAAGAGTTATATGATCTTTTTTTCCTGTTGCATGTGGCTGCAAGAATAGTTTCTTGTGAACAACTTGTAAAGAAGCAAGCTTATGTTGACTTTGCAGAAAAACTTTTTGCAGCTTCTGTTGAACACTGCACGATCATCCGGTTTTATCATATAATATTCATAGCCTTCTGCATTTATGTGATGATGTTCATCAATATGATGTTATAGAAAATTTTTCTGGATTTCCATTTGAAAATTATCTGGGAAAATTATCAAATGCTTGATCAATTGCTTCGATCTGTAAAAAGTTCTCCAGCAACTTGCTCGACGACTGGCTGAAATGAACTATTTGTATGAATTTCAACAACTTCCACTCATGGTTGCCTTCAGATTTCAATTCATCCAAATGGGTATAAGACACTGTTCAACACAAATTTCACTCTCTCGACTAATTTGAAAAACTCATTCTTTTATTCAAATGAAAGTGTTGCACAGGTGAAGAAAATCTGAAAATAGAATTGTTTTGTGTGTGATAATCTTCACTTCTTTGAGAATCCAATTAAATCTAGCAAGATGGGTATCTGGAAATTAGATAGCTGGAATCATTGAAATATTCCAGTTTCATTAGAAATTTGTGGAAAGTGTATAGTTCTTTCATTTGGAAATGAACGTATTGCTCTCAGATTGCTTCTTTAAAGGTACAATAAGTTGTTAATATTACACGCTTTTTTTCATTTGTTGGTAAATTAAAATGTCCTTTGTAAAGGTCTAGAAGCATATTTTCTTGTTTTTTTTTCTCCTTTGTTCTTTTTGATAATATTTAAAAATTCAAATTTTTAAACTTTTTTTTGTAATTTCTATTTTCAGATTGTTTGTATGCTGTGGTGGAATTTCCACCTGACCATGAGAAACCACAAGCAATAATTGTATTGAAGTCATAGCTTTTGCCAGAAACAAGAAATGTTGGTGGCCTTATCATTTGAAAAGCGATATTGCAAATCAGAAAGTTTTAATATCACAGCAAGAGCCCGATGCAGGTTTTACAAAATGTAGTTTTTTACGAATTCTTCATTAGTACAGTATATATAATTCTGATTTTTGTGCTACCATGAGTTGTTTTTTAAAACATTTTGTTCAGTACTAAACTAAGTATTCACTTTGTATACAGATATATACAGAGATGCTCGATTAAAACTCCATAAATCTGAAGTTCAATCAGATTTGGAATCAAATAAAGAGTCCCTCATATTCTCAAGAGGGCGCCGTAGTAAACGAATTTTTCAAGAGGACAGTAAGGAAGATGATCGACCATTAAAAAAAACATCTGTTAAGGCACCTCCTGTTATTTCATTTCCTGATAGTGCAGATAGAGAATTAAGGAATGAAATGTGCTCCATGACCGAAAGTCAAGAATGTAATAGAAGCAATCTTCGGTAGCTAAGAAAAGAGTAGAGGAGCCTTAAAGAAAATATCCAACCCGAATGCAATAAAGAAACACAAGTTATTTAAAAATATCTCTGGGATAGTTAAGAAACAAGTAGATAAAGTAGAGCTTGCCTCTGCATCGAGATTGAAGCAAAGTAAGTTTTTAATGAATGTATTGCATTACATTTATGACATGCGTATTATATACTACTGTAATATTACTAAGCATGTTTTCCAGAGGTATCTCTTCAGAAATGCAATATAAGCATGAAATTGAATAAGTCTCTTAAACAGATCTCATGAATCAGCTAAAACTTCTTTTGCCTCAATGAAATTTTGCTTCACCTTCAATGAGAGAACTATCGAGAAGATACAGTAGATATTACTTCACCTACAAAGCAGAGTACATCTCGAGTACGTGAAACTAAGGAAAAATTTCCTTCAGTTACATCTTCGAAGGAACGCATTTGTAGTTGAAAAGCAAGAGCTCATTTGACACCACCTTCTCCTTCAAAGCAGTGGATTTCGGATAAGAATAGAGCGAACTCCGCTTCACCCTCATCGATTAAACGAAGTAAGTTTCATAAGAATTTTGTTCTCGAGTGAACGTTATTTAATTTTTATTCAAAGATTTATAAAATCTTTTTACTGTATTGTTTTTCATTTATTTATACTTATATTCTTCATCCTTATTTATATTTTTTATTCTATTTGATGTGTTTTTATTATATGTATATAGTACAGTACTTCTCTATTTTGTCAGTAGATAATGCTATTGTAGAAAAGATAATGCAATACTAGAATCTTTCAGTCTCCAGTCTCTAATCAATCTGTCAATGACTTACAATCTGTTAGTGTTGGACAGCTGACACTTCATCTTCGTCTCTTAGCCACAGTAATATTAGTAATATAATTGGTTCTAACATGAGTAAATCTGATATAGAAGACAATAATGTTGAGAATATTCTTGAAGCTTCCATGGATGCTTTCTATAAAAGTTGCGTTTCGCGGATTTCCTCCGTGTCCATGCAAACAAGACAACGGTCTCTGACACACAACCAGACGAAAGGATTCTATCAATTCTCTCATATGTCAAAAAGATAGGACAAATCTTAAAAAACCCTAAAGATCAAAGACCTTTTGTACACTCAGCTCCGCAGGAGTATACAAAATATCTTGTCCCTGCGGGCAAGTATACATTGGAGAAACCGGGAGAATGGTCAACCTACGGATAAAAGAACACCAACGTGATGTCAGGCTAAAACATGTCACGCAGTCAGCATTATCAGAACACAACATCGAAACAGGACATCAAATACTGTTTGATAAAACGACCACAATAGCCAACATCACTTCATACTTTCCAAGAAAGTATAGAGAAACCATAGAGATACAAAAACATCCTAACAATCTAAATAGAGATAATGGCTACAACATAAATAAAATATGGAAAACCATTCTTTGGGTTATTGAAGACTGACCAATTCTCCCCCCCCTCTCTCTCTCCCCTAACCCACAATTCTCTTCTTTCCCCCCATCACTCCAACAAGTAGCGTATAAAAAGGAACGGCCCGGAGGAACAGCTCAGTATCAGGCTGCTCTTCGCCCTGATGAAGTGGACTGCAAGATTCAAGAAACGTTGGCATTTCAAGAATGGATCTGAACACGAAGGAAACCCGCGAAACGCATAACTTTTGATAATGTTGAGAATTCATAAAAGAATAATCATGACGATGAATATGCTTATAACAGTAATGACAGTAATGTAAATTCTAGTTGTGATAATCAAGTTGAAGCACCGAAAAAAATCACTGGCATGGGTAAAATGCTAAACTTAAGTACTTCTTTGATTTGCGATGTATGGATACTAATTTACTCTTTATTACTGTTATTGTAGATGTGGTAAAAAATTTGATTTATGAGAGTAATGAAAGACATTCAACGTAATCAAGGAATATTGGAGGAAATAGTGCAGTGACTCAGGAATAAAGGAATAATCGTATCTCATCCTAAACGAATGCCACAAGTACAATATTGAGAATATCAGCAGAGAAAATGGAGAAATGTTTAGTTTTATCCACATCATAAATAGAATACTTTGTAAAAATAAATTTGAAGCCCATTTAGTGGTTTTCATAGTAGAACATAAGATATTCTCTTACAATACATTTTTAGGATTGAAAAAAGTGTTAAATATTTACAGACTAAAAGACTTTTCACCGAAGGTGGAATGTCAGTTTAGGAATATTGATCGCATTATGAAAAAATTGCTTACACGTGCAGTTGGCAGACTCTATAATTATAGGGGAAGAAAACAAAAAGGGAAGGAACAAAAACTTGCTTTTTCTTCCACAAACATGTGTGAAGTTGTCAAAGATATGATTGCTTTACAATTTTAGTTTATTGAAGTACCATCAAAATGTAAAATCATAGTATATGTAGATTTTTCTTTTTTTTCACAAAATGATTAAAACAAGATTTTTCAGTCAGCTGAAATTGTATTATAACTATTTTAAAAACGAATTAAATATTGCCTAATGTTTTTTTTTTCAAATGCAGCGTTACTCGTACATCCAGATGCTAATGGGAAAATTATTGACTAAGCAATGATGGCTTACTCGCCTTTTAGGAGTGACAAATAAGTTTTCTACATATATGTATTACATTAAATATATTTGTCTCTGCTCAATAATTCCATTTTAAATCTAACTTTGATGTGTAATGTATCTTATATCCAATAAAAATGGCAGTTTGTTATAGTGAGTACAAGTGTTCGAAATTATTAAGATAAGTTTACCAAAGATATGCTATAGATTGCTACAGATGTATGTTCCATTTAGTTTTTTTAGTATTTAGTATTTGTGTTTTCTTCTTTTTGTGAATCATAGAGCTTATTAACGTATGTTAATCAATGTATGTTTTTTTCCAGACTGAAATGTGATAGTTATGTTATATGTCAAATTTATTTCGTAGAGAATCAGTTTATAATCTTTTACTTTATTTGTTTAAGAATCAGTTTGAGTTTCTTTCAATTTATGTATTGTATTATCATAACAGCTAGACTGTTTAAAAATCTTTCAATTTATTATCATAAGATGATGAGATTTTTAGTGGAATGAATATGAGTATATTTAAATTTTTTTCAGAAATAGTTTATTACACTTACAACGGAACTTGCTTATAACATTTTCTACATGTGTTTCCCGTTTTTTAACGGTTTTATTCGGTAACCGAACAATACTTACAAAATAAGATATATCATATATTTAACATTATCTCGCTTATAATTTACAGTTTTGCGATTCATCAGAACATGTTATAAACACAGGTTCCACTATATTTAATAATTCTTTCTTTATATTTGATAAGTTTTGTTTAATACATTTGATTAATTACAATTTGTTTAGTCTGACAAAATACAATTACAAAGCAAAAAATTTACTTGTTTTATTTTACTATTGCATCTGTTTCTTAGCACAATGGCAGTAGTCGGAATAAAAGTGTATTTGAGACTTTCCTTATGCACTGATTTTCTTCTTTTTCCCACCAAAATATTGAAGGGGAAATGAGTTACGTTTTTGGCTTGCGGGCTCATATTCGCTATGCATATCTCAACAACAAATTTAGGATTAAAGAAATGGATAATTTTATCTTCCACTCCGTCTTCTCATCCATAAAAATCCAGGAAATCAAGTACTGGTTTTTAGCTCAAAGATCCTTATCTCTTATACCTGCTTTTCTGAAAATCTTCCTGGATCCATTTTGTGTTATAGCTCCCTTTCTCTTCTGCAGCAGGAGAGATAATTCTTGCCAAAAAGCGAGTAGCAAAAAATTTATTACTGTTCCATAAGAAAAATTAATTAGCTATTGCATCGCCTTTTACTGTGCGACAAGCGTAATCGTATCCTGTCTGCGGGACCCATAATACAAAATGCACGCAATGATAGATACTGGAAATAATTTTCGAGAACAGGTTGCCTACTTATCCGAATGTTAGACGAATGCTACCCAAACATTTATATTGTAATGTTTTACGAGTATTCTCCGAACATTCTCCGAACATTAGTTAGGTGCGAATTTCTAACACTTAGATAACAGTTCAGTTACGATTATAACATTCGATGAACACTCAAAGAATATTAACATGCTACCTGAATTATTAGCAAGAACTTGCAAGAAAAATTTGTAAGACGCACCGTTTATGGATATACATTCTGTACACAAATTTATGATTTATACTTCTTATTATGTTTTCTCCTATTTAAGAATCTCCAATTGTCACTCGAACTTTGCCACGATTTAAGAGAAATTATTTATGATATCTTAGAATGGCATGCTAGAAATGCACCGATTATTTTATTTCGTAAAAAAGATCGGTTCTCTACAAATGTCACAAATACTTATGTTTAAACAAATAATACATGTTTCACAAATCCAGAGTCACGGTAGTATTTCGGTGCTAAGACAAACGCATTTTAGCGCGAGACAGTATCGGGTATCTTTACGCGAAGCGGTGAGTTTTCAAAGATTGATTATTATATCTCAATAATAGCTATGCCGATAAAATTCTATTTATGGTAAATCGATAGTTCGTACTCGAATGATATAATGAAAGTGCATTTTTTTTCTATTTGCCCGAGCGGAGATATTGCAACAAATTCAAATTTTAAGAAACGTTATTGTCATTACTATTAACGTCGTCGTCGTCGTCGTCATTTGCCTGGCCCATGGATTACGTTTCGAATTTCAGTCGATAGATGGCAATCTCCATTTTACTTTACTTTTTAATAATTTTTTAATAATTCTTTAACGAACAACAATCGACAGTTAAAACTGCCCGATGGTCATTCAGGGTCATGATTTTGACAATATATGACATTTTATTTTTTTTTTTCATAACTTTGTAACGTGTGATGAATTACTGCTACAACCTTCCAAAAATTGTGATCTTCCTAATGTATGGGGCAAGATCGTCGGAGATGAATGGTTGATTTTAATTTTAATATCTTCTTAATAAGCAACGATCACCTGCTGAAACTGTCCGATGATCACTCAGTGTCATGACTTTGACAACTTGAGTCAAGATTATTTTATTTTTTTTTAATAATTTTGTAATGCATGGTGAGTGAGGGTGCCTTTTCATGCAGCGAATTTTTCGCTGCGAATGATTTTTAGCAAATAGCGAATAATTTAGCTGTTCCAAATTTACTGCCACTGAAAATGCTACAGTTTACATTACGTGTACTATAGATTTTCAGTACTGGCAGTAAATATTTGAACATCTTAATGAGCCTTAATGAGCATCGCATGTGCGTGATTGCGTAACAACAATGACTACATTTACATGGCACCCTTAATCGGGTTTAATAACATTCGTAATTATAAAACTGGTTAATCACAGTCATTCCATTCTTCCAGCTATGATTGACCAATTTCATAACTACGGATGTTAATTAAACCCGATTAAGCGTGCCCTGTAACAAAAGTCAATAACAAAATACTTTTTATATTTGGTTATAAGTTTTAAAATGTTTTTAAATGTTATATATTTAATATAAATATTGAATAAATTATTAATTGAAAACATATATTGGATAACATTTTTTAAAATTATTTTAAATGGAGGACAATTCAGTTACTGAATTACTTCACATAAAACCAACAAATGCAATAGTTATTAATTTATATGTTAGTATATTTTACTATCAAATAAATGCACGAAGAAGGAAAGCAGCTGCAGTTGGAGCTATATTTTAGTTGATCGTGTTTGTATTTTATAGGTTTACGTAACATTTATAGATTATAATTCATAATTTTATACAATGCGAACATATGCGATTTCCTAATTAAATTGAATATATATAATTTTTCTTCTTTAATTACATTTGTTATTTCTATTTTGCATATCGATTTTTGCATGGCCGTTTATGTAGATTTAATATCGAATATTCACGAACATTCGTTAAAAGCTGAAAAATTTCAGCGAACAGCGATTACTCACTAGCAAAAAGTGATCACGTGGCCTTCAATCGCGGCGATTTTTTTGCTACGTGAATTTGCACTTTTATTGCTATAACTTTCCAAAAGTTATTCGGTGTGATGACTTTCATAATGTATGGGAGGGGCAAGATCATCGGAGGTGAATTGTTTATTTTAATTTTAATAATTTTTCTTAATAATCAACGAGCGATTAACAAAATCCTTTGATGGTTACTCAGGATTATGACCTTGACAATATATATTAAAGTCAGCGTCGGAGTTGAATTCCTTATTTCATTTTTAATATGTTTTTTAACGTGAAATGGGCGACTGCTAAACCTTTCAAAGGTTGCAGGAAATGTAGCAGGAAAACAAGTATCATATGCCGCAGGTCTATATTAAATAATAATTCCAGACTGAAAAAAGGAATAAAATTAAATAAAATATTACCGAAATATTTAAAACACTGATAAAAACGCCATCCAAAGTTTAAATTTCTACAGTCAAGAATCTTTTCCTGGTTCTTATTTTATAAATCATCTGACTAATAACTAATTCATTAAAAGAAACATTTTATACAAATATCTTTGTATTAAAAATGCAGGGGAATGAGAAGTAAAATAAATAAATTTAAATTAAATTAAATTAATTTTATCATAAATTTTATCGTTTATAAAAACGACTTGATAACAACGTTGCAATTTTTTATGATTGCAACGATAACTGGCTACACTAATTTTGTGCTAAGCTTGGAAAAATCACTTTGAGAAGTAACTATTATATAACCATTACGTTATATTTATTTATTGAAAAGGTTATTTGTAATGAATAATCTCAAAAATAAAAGTTCTACTTAATTTGAATAATACGTATCAGGTATATAAAAGATTTGATATCAATAATGGACGTTGAATTATAATCTTTAAAAATTATCTCACTCAATCCAAATCATATATGAATCTTGAACAAAACTCTATTGTACAAGATTAATAAAGAAAATTCAAATTTTAAGTGAATTATCTTCATTAATTTATATATGATGAAAACTAAGTAATGCGTAATGTAATGATAAAGTACTAAAACATAAATACAGGGTGGGGCAAAAGTCCCGCTACCATATAAAATTTGGACGTCTACACAACACAACGGTTAAAGCTAAACTGAGCTATACGTCACATATCGCAATCAAAATGGTAGCGGGACTTTTGCCCCACCCTGTACAATAATAACGTAAGCACTAAAACATAAATGAATGAATTTCATTGATAAATTTGTTGGTAACTTTTAATCTTTGGGTAATCATTGTGAAAATGGACCTAAGGGTGACTGTGTAAATGTAGTCTATTAAAAACCTATGAAGTTAGTCAAAGTTGTTAGGCGTAACCTCAAAACACATAATTGGTGCTTACATCAACTGATCAGCTTACCT